GTGAATTGAGGTTGTGACTGTTATTTGAGTATTTGTTTTGTAATTGAAATAATAAGTTTAAAATGGATGCGGCAAAAAAGGCTTTGTTAGAAAGAACAATTAAAGCTAGGGCTGTTTCAAGATCGTTAGTAACGAAGCAAATTAAAAAACTTGAAGCAGAAATAGATAATAGTTCCGATAAAATAATTGTTAACGAAACATTTTTACAATTAGTTGCTAAATTTGAAGAGATGTGTAAACTTGATAAGGAAGTTCAGGATTTAATTGATATTGATAAGTTAGAAGAAGAAATTGAGAGTCGCGAAGATTATCGTGATAAATTTGTGTTGTGGAAATCTCGCGCTGAGCGTTATTTAGCTGCAAACCCGAATACAGCTCCTCAAAATCTGGCGGAAACTCAACCATTAACTACTACTACAATTCCTCAAACTAGCCCGGTTTTAATAAACCAACCCCGTTTGCCCAAGCTTACTTTGGAATCATTTTCGGGTAAGAATATTAGTAGTTTTCCTAGTTTTTGGGCTAGATTTAAATCTGCAGTGCATGAGAATTCGAGTTTAAATGATATAGATAAATTTTCATATTTAAAATCGGTTGTTACAGATGATGCGGAATTAGCAATACAAGGTTTAACATTAACTTCAGAAAATTATGTAAAAGCGGTTGAAATTTTGGAAAAAAGATTCGGACGCAAAGAACTTATAATTGATTATCACATGAATTGTTTATTAAATCTGACCCCTGTCCGGAACTCGTTTGATGTTATTTCATTGCGTAAATTGTATGATCAGTTAGAAGTCAACATTCGAGGATTAGAATCCCTTGGAATCTCACCCGATTCTTATAGTTGTCTTTTGTTTCCGATAATTATGAAGGTTATCCCTTCTAGTTTAGCTTTAGAGTATAATCGAAAATTTGAAAAAGGGGATTCTAAGATCACTAATTTAACTCAATATCTCCGACAGTCTCCGAAAGTAGAGGAAGAACTACTGCATTGTTAAAGACTCGAAATGAGTCACAAATAAAAAGTTCGCCTTCATTTTCTAATAAATATTTCGATTCGGCGCCACGCAGATACGCGAATATGAAACCTAAGTATCATTCGGAATTTCATCCCCCCTCTAATCATAACAGGCAGGCTGGGAGAGTATCAGCGACTGAATTAGTGACATCTGCAATTTTTAATTGTTTATTTTGTTCGGAAAAGACCCACTCTTCTGATTGTTGCTCGAACTTAAATGTTCAGCAAGAAGAGAGAAATTAATTAAGGAAAGGAGATGTTTTTTATGCTGTAATATTTCTTGCAATGTAAAAAAGTGTAAGAAAAATAACTGTTCGTTTTGTCAAGGGCGTCATGCACGTGCGATTTGTTTTAAATTAGAGAATTCTAAAAAACAAAATTTATGTTTAGATTCGAAAGAAAGAGGAGTTGATGTTAAAACTACTTGTTCAAATTCTGCGGTAAATAATAATGTGGGGTTTTGCTGCAATGCGTGAAGGCAGAGATTATTGGTAGCTCTTCGTCAGATAAAATATTTTGTTTATTTGATAATGGAAGGGAAAAAAACATTTATTAAGAAAAACTTGTCTCGTTGATTGGGATTAAGGGTGTTAGGCTCAGAAAGGTTAAAAATATATTCATTCGGATCTAAAGTGCCTAAAAAACAAACTTGTCGTAAGGTAGAAATTAGGTTGACGAATTTATTGAATGGAGATGAGGCGATGATTGAGTAGGGTGACCAGATTTTTTCGGGCAATTCCGGGGACACTCATCTCTTCCCCCCCCCCCAATTTTATCAACAGAAAAAATTGGAAATTTTTTTTTATCATTTATCTTAAAAAATATTTATTTTTTTTCGTTTTTCGTTTTTCTATAATTTAGTATATAAATTATATTGTTAAAATCGTGATCATAACATTTTTACACAATTTTAAAATCTGTTAACAAAACAATTGTATTGCTTTTAAAATTGTACTATTTCTAAACACCGTATTTTTCTGAAGAATGAATCTTCTTTAAAATTTCAGGATTTTTTTCGAGTAATTGAGAAAATATGTCACATGAAAAATCAAAATTAATCAGTACAGATGAAACCGCTTTCACTATATTCACATCCATTCGCGATTTTTCTTTAGTCCAATAGTTATTTATGCGCGAAAATACCCGTTCTACAGGTGCATTGCTGCTTGGCCAGCACATTGCAAGCTCAACAATTCTTTTGATATTTGTAAATGGTATATTGTTTTTTTGAAAATAATTGTTTATTTCGCACCATTTGTCTGATATGTGTACGGATTGGTACCATTTATCGTCTTTTGAATCCAAATAACCTTCAAGATAAGTAAACTCGTCAAATAAATCGTCGGAATTAACATTCAAAATTGCACATTTTGAAGAGAGAGACAGAACTGCCTGGTCGAATTCAGACCGTGAAGGCTTACAATCTAAAAGAAGGCACTTCAAATCAGACATATCATCGTTGTTATCGTTCCAAGCTTCTAAATATGAAATCGCAGTTTCATAGAATTCTTTCGACGTTCCTAAATAATCTTCAGTAATGATATTCTCAGCAATCAATTTAATCAATTCAGGTTTTACAACAAGTGGAACAAATTTGGCATTCTTTCGTGCTTTCAATTTAAATATCAAATCCTTGACAACCGCTCCAGATTCAATAACACATTTGTCATCGCTTTCAATTTTCAAGATGCTTTGATTAAAAATTGCAGCATGCGAATGCGCAAAAAACAACCATAACTCGGTTGTTTCACTCTCAAAATAATTCTTCAAGATTTTTGGGCACTTTTTTTCAGACAACATAAATTCTTTAAGAGATGAATAAATTTTAAGAATTCTTTCTACAGCAGGAAGTAATGTCAACCACCTAACATGAATGTGTCCTAAAATTTGATGATATTCTTGGTCAGCATACTCACAAAATTCTTTCAGTCTTTCAATTCGAACTGTGTAAATTTTAAAATAACTAAAAAGTTTAGATACCATAACTTCAATATCTACAGGCAAACAATCAAAAGCAGTTTAAGCGCCATTATGTATAATCTGCGCATTACACCCAAAACCAAAAATATCTCTTCCTAACTCAGTTTGAAGTTTAGTATGAACATTTTCTGTTCCTCTTCTTAACAATCCTCCAAAATTAGTGTTAGTATTATCCGCAAACAAACCAGCCGTTTTATCTTTCAATTGGAACTCGAATAGTGCGTTTAATATTTCTGAAGATAAAATATTTGCAGTTTCTCCTTTAATTTCGTTTAGTGATACAAGTTTATTATTAATTGGATCTTTAGCACAGTCCCACTGAAAATACCGCACTAAAATAGGAAGTAATTTTACATGATTGTGATTGGAAGTATCATAAGATATTGTTACAAATTGAACAGACTGTAAATCTCTCTTCAATTCAAGAAATGCCCACGGAGAAAAAATATTGACAGCGATAGCTTCGCATTTTGTTCGGGCACAAGAAAATTTCTTGTCTACAAATTTCTTCTGTAAATTTGAAGTACAGTCTATGCTGCGAAACGATTGGTTGTGACGAATGGCGTGAAATGCAAGCGTTCCTTCATATGTTGCTAAGTCAAACTCTTCTTTGGATGGTTCCAGCTTACGAAAAAACTGCTTGACGGATTTCGTTTTTGTTTTTGCAGTCAAAGCTTCTTTGTGTTTAATTGTGTTTTGATCTGCTATAGCTGTTCGTCCTCCACTTCCAACTGAAAACGTTGCTCCACACATTGTACATTTTACTTTGGAAGAACTATTAGGATTCGGTTCAATAAATGGAAACTCGTTTTTCCAATCATCCAAATAATGGCATTTTCTTTTTTTTGTTGCCATATTGACATCTATTTTAAAGAAATAGAAATATTTTTCAAAATATCTATTACGATAACAAATTATGAGGTTTTCAAAATATAGAATAATTAGAATTTTTAAAAATTAATTTGTCGTAAATAGGTCTGTGCTATAAATCGATGTTTCGAGACATATCGATTTAACGCATATATCGGCAAGACGATACAGCGACTTTCATTCAAGGCGATGCATCAGAAATCTGATTTAAGCCGTCGAGTAAAGACAACGAGCGCAAAACGATATAGCGATATAAGACACGCAAGGATATAAGATTAACGATATAGCGATATAAGACTCTTCTCTTACGTTCCGATGCCGACTCGCGCTGTGGAAGTCGATGTACGTTTCGTTATGTTGAAATGTCCTTGATTGGTGAGCTGTAGAATCAGAGTTTTGAGAACACATATCGTTATATCGCATGTTCCTTTTCGCACCTCTTAGCTTTTTTTTTTCTTTGTCGCGACTTTTCTTGTAGATTATTTTCAGTGGGACTGAAGGCAATCTATTATTGAAAAGAATATATAAAGAAGAGTTTCTTCATTAATTAGATAAAAAAATTAAAAAAAAAACTTCTTTTTATTTTTAAATGTGAAAATTATCGGCAATCTAATTTAGGCGCCCATAAAGAATTGTATTTGTTAGGTTATTTTTTTACTTTCTTTTAATTTATTAAAAACTTTTTGGCTGAAACTTCTAATAATTTAATAAGTTTTTATTACTGATTTTAAATTTATAAATCTTGTTGTTTTTATTTTTAGAAATAAAGTTAAAACAAAATTTATTTTTGTCATTTGGATTTGGACATAAGTCAATCAACT